ACCCCACCCCATCCCACCCCACTCCCCCTCTCTGCCCCAGCAGTCACCAGCAGTGGCCAGGCCATCTCTGGAAGCCAGGCTCCACACATCCGCATGCAGATCACATGACTGCCCAGGACACTGGCTGCGTGTGGCTCACATCACAAAGAGCCCCACAGACACTTGCTATCAGGCTCTTCCTGTCACCAGTGAGGGGCTGGTCCTCATCACCATCGCCATCAGGAGCCTGCACACCCCTTTCCAAGCTCTCTGTGGCATCCATCCATCCACTGGTTTGAATCAAAACCCCACTGTACCCAGCAATACCGGGGAGTTGGGTCTGTTACTTTCCCTTCTGTGCATGGGGGTGGTGTTGCCTAGGCAAGCACTCACCACCCAGCCACATCCCGGCCCCGAAAGTTAACCCTTCCTGAGCAACAGCTACACAAGCTGCTCCACACAAGCTGTGTAGCCACCACCTGCCCACTCAGATATTCCTTCCTGGCTCGGGAAGCCAAGGCCACTTAGACGGCTCTGACGCTTGCTAAGAATCTGACCAGGTTCCTCTTAAAGCTGCTGCCATAGAGACAGTGCTGAAGAAGGCCACAGACAGGGATGCTGTCTGCCTGGCTGTTCACATCGCCCCCAGGAAAACCCCCAGAACACCCAACGGGTGAGTGTATGCAGGTCTCCACACCCACCCCTCCAGTGAGCCCCTGAACAGGCACCCCAAGGGCACCTCACTTCTGACCTAGACCGCCCTCTCCCAATCTATGCACGTCTACTTCCCCGAGGGTGAATGGGCTTGGGGGACATTCAGGACAACAGGACAGGAGCCAAGGGTCACAGGGACACATGCAGAGCACTCCCAACAACAGACACAAGAGCCTCCCCCCCCCATCCCCTCCTCTCTGCTGGGCGGAGGGAAGTCACAAGAGCTGGAGCCTCCACAGCTCTCACAAATCAACACAAACTTTCCGGAGACAAAAGAAAAACTTCTGTCCTGTTAAAGCCACTTGTTCGTATTTCACTACTCTGCTACAGCCAAGATGATTCCACAGACTGCATCAATTTGCACGCAGAAGGAAACATTAGGCAACAGAGGGATAGCCAGGAGGCCAGGATAACCTGAAATCGGGAGCCAGGCAGACCAAGGAATGGGGTGGATCTGGAGAAGTAAAAACCAAACTAAGTCCCTGCCTAGAATCCCCCAGTGAGGGGCTGAGGGCGTGGCTCAGTGGTAGAGCCCCTGCCTAGAATCCCCCAGTGAGGGGCTGGGGTGTGGCTCAGTGGTAGAGCCCCTGCCTAGAATCCCCCAGTGAGGGGCTGGGGTGTGGCTCAGTGGTGGAGCCCCTGCCTAGAATCCCCCAGTGAGGGGCTGGGGTGTGGCTCAGTGGTGGAGCCCCTGCCTAGAATCCCCCAGTGAGGGGCTGGGGTGTGGCTCAAAGTTAGGGTATCTGTTTGGCATAAGCCCTGCCCTGCCTTCCATTCTCAACACCTCCTGGGGGTTGGGAACTGTAGAGGTCATTGAAAGCTATGGTCAAGAGCCTGGCCTTCTCCCAAAGACAGTCAGGGGCCATAGAATAGTGAGCAAGGGAGGAGCAGGGTCAGTTTTGCACTTCAGGAAGACCTGTCTAGTCTGCTGGACGGTCTGCAAGGGACAAGACAGAAGGAAGCGGGAAGGGAAGGGAGGGGCTGGGCAGTGACCCTACAGGGATGCAATCCAAAAGAACTGAGCCAGGTGAGCAAGTGTCCTTTCGAGCTTGGGGGGAGAGTACCCACAACAGGCAAGCGTTACACAAAGTCAGGCATCATAAACCAATGCCCATCTGTGGCGGCAGATACGGAAAAGGCTGGCGAAGGCATTCAAGAAAGCCACGGAGAGGGCGGCAGAGGCCACAGGAGCCTTTTCGGCCAAAGCATGCGGTTTGTTGGGGGTTCTGATGTTGTTTTGTTTTGTCAGGAGGAAAGTCTTATGTCTGGAGCTGCAGTCTTCCATATTTTGTTTTGTTTTGTTTTTCAAGACAGGGTCTCTCTGTGCAGCCCTGGCTGTCCTGGAACTCGCTCTGTAGACCAGGCTGGCCTCGAACTCACAGAGATCCACCTGCCTCTGCCTCCTGAGTGCTGGGATCAAAAGCGTGCACCACCACTGCGGGTTAACAGTCTTCCATCTCTAACACCAGTTTCGCACGGGAGCTGCACCAGACACAGCAGGCTGGCCCGAGCAGTTCTCCCCAACAACCAGACTGAAGAAATGGCTATCCGCCGAGTGCAGCAACATACACCTGCAACCCAGGAGGCACAGGCCAGGAAGACTGAGCATGAGCCAGCCCGAGTTACATAACAAGGGACTCAAAAATAGACGACGGGGTGCCGTGTAGCTAGGATGGTGGAGGGCTTGTCTAGTGTGTGCAAAGCCCAGAGTTCTACCTCCAACGCCCCAGGAAGCCATCACAGTGGACAGAAAAGGAAGACAAGGAGGCTGAAGAAACAGGACTCTAGCCCTGCCATACTCCCCAGCCCTGGGCCCTTCCCTCTGGAGCCCTCCCAGCCCACGGTGAAGTCTGGCCACTCACAATCTTCTCATAATACTCCCGACGCCGCTCTGCCCTCTTCTTGTAGTCCACCATCATGCCTCGGAGTTTCCGCTCATGCTTCCGAGCCTCGTGCCACATCGTGGTGAGAGGCCTCTCTACCTGAGGGACGAGGGAACCAGGTATGTCAGATGGACAGTAAAAACCACAGGGGCACAGCCGCAGCCCTCTAGCAAGTGAGTGTCAACCCTGGCGGCTTCAGAAGAGAGGCTACGTGGCAGACCGGGAGGCTGACCCAGGTGAGACCCTCTCCCGGCAAAGGGATTATCCTAGATAATCCTAAAGTCCAGATTGAGGAATACGAGGTAGGCAGCACCTGGATGGTTAATGCAGACCCGTCTTGACTTTAAGTCCACCGTACATGGGGAGAGCTTGCTTTAATTAAGAAAAAAAGAAAGAAAAACTGGGCAGCGTTGGTGGTGCACGCTTTTAATCTCAGCACCAGGATGGCAGAGGCAGGCAGGTGCCGGTGTCTGGGGCCAGCCTGGTCTATGTAATGAGTTCCAGACTAGCCATGGCTACTCAGTGAGGTCCCACCTGGGGAAAGTATTGTAACTTTTGGAGTGAAAGCAGTGTCTGAACCTGAGCTGCCAGGGCTGGGCTCGTAGGAAGAACCCCAAAGATCCTCTGCAGAAGCCATGCATGGGGGGGGGGGAGGCTGCCACAGAGTAGTGAGATGAAGGCTGGTGGGGGAGGGCAAGATTCTCCCAAGCGCGGCGGCCATAAGCTGGGGGTGGGGGTGGGGTGAGGCCAGGTGAAGGGCGTGGACGGGGGATGGAGATGCTCTGGAGGCTGAGGTCTAAAGCCGGGACGTGAAGCGGGCCAGGCATGCAGGTGAAACAGACGAGAGCGGAGGCCGGGCGGACGCGAAGGGCGAAGGCAGGGGCCGAGCTCCGTGCGGGAATCGGGGTCCGGGCCGGGCCCCACAGCGCGGACTCCGGCCCGGGGAGGGGCGAGGGGCGCAGCCCGAGGCCTGTCAGGACGGAAGCGGGCGGGGCCGCCCTCGGGGCCCGGTGGACACCCACGGCAATCCCGGGGACGCCTCGGGCACGGGCGAAGCCCGCCTGCCACTGCTCGCAAGCCGGGAGGCCGGGGTCGGACGCCTGCACTCACCGGCTGGTCGCCGCCTCCCACTGCCGCGCTCGCGCGCGCTCACGACCCACACCGGAAGCGGAAGTCAAAGGTTGAGCGAAGGAGAGAGGCGGTGCTGCACCGAAGGCACTTCCGCCGTCGCGAGGGAGGGGGAATCTGGGCGGGGCCTGCGGCTGTGGGCGGGGCCTTGTGGGTTGGTCCGGTTTGTGGGCGGGGCCTGCAGAGTGGCACGATTCCCAGGGGCCGCCCGCTGGCTTGCAAGGGAAACACACAGCATTCCAGACACGTTTTTTTGTTGTGGTTCTTAAAGATTTACTTATTCTAGGGACTGGAGAGGTGGCTAAGCGGCCGAAACACTGGCTGTTCTTCCAGAATTCCTGAGTTTACTTTTCAGCACCCAAATGGCGGCTCACAACAGGAGTCTGTAACTGTGGTTCCACGGGATCCAATGCCCTCTTCTGGTGTGCATACACGTAGAGAAAACCCCCATATGCATAAAGTACGTAAATTAAAAATCCTTTTAAAAGATTTCTTAGCCAGGTGCACACCTTTAATCCCAGCACTCTGGAGGCAGTCAGGGGAATCTCTGAATTTGAGGCCAGCCTGGTCTACAAGGTGAGTTCCAGGACAGCCAGGGTTGCTACACAGAGAAATCCTATCTTGGAGATTTAATGGATATGCCTGAGTATAGGTAAATGTCCTTGGAAGTCAGAAGAGGCTGTCAGATGTGCATCAGTCAGGGTTTTCTAGAGTAACAGAAGGTTTTCTAGAGTAACTTATAGAAGGAATCTCTCTACATATATAGGAAAGGGATTTATTAGAATGACTTACAGGCTGTGGTCCAGCTAATCCAACAATGGCTAGCTATGAGCAGAAAGTCTAAACATCCACAAGGCTGAATTTCTCAGCAGTCTTCAGTATACACAGGAATCCCAAAGAAATAGATACTAATGCAGTGAAAACTGAGCTTGCTAGCAAGGAGAGAACAAGCAAGCAGAGTACAAACCTCCTTCTTCCATGTCCTTATGTAGGGTTCTAGCAGAAGGCTTTCACCAGATTAGATATGGATTGATTCAAATTAAGCAAAAATCCCTCACGTGTCTGTCCTCCACTTTGGGGTTTTAATATTTCAGCTGTAGTCAAGCTGCTAGACAAGAAGAGACAGCACCCATTCTGAGCCGCCATGTGGGTGCTAGGATCGATCCCGGGGCCTCGGCAAGAGCACCTATAGCTCTTAACCCCTGAACCATCTCACCAGCACCTGAGCCACCATTGTTCCATTCCAAACCGACCTACTGTTTTCCAGGCAAAAAAAAAAAAGAGAGACAACCCCAAGACTCAAAAAACTAATTTTTATTGGGAAAACTGCACAAACAACATACCCCCACCTCCAGGACCAGGGACGAGGGCGGGGATCTACTCCCTCCTCCCCTATGTACAATCTCTCAGAATCTGTCCTGATAAGGGGCCCACCTGCAGGAGCCCCTTTTCCTCTTCGGACTCAGCATTCTCATCTGTGAAATGGGCTCCAGGAGAACTGAAGCTCTCCCCAGCTTCTTGCCAGCACTGCAGCTGTCCGATTGAGGATGAGGATTGAGGATGAGGAAGCTGGAAGACTGATCAAGGTTGGCCCCGGGGACTGTGGTGCTGCCGCACACCCCTCACCCAGTACCTTCGCTGGCCTCAAAGGCTACGTGGCTTCAGGCCCTGGGGACAGGAGGCCACCCCCGAAAGCTGCCTCTCGGTACTGGTTGGGGAACATGTTGCTGCCCACAAGGCTGGCAGTGCCAACCTCCCCGGGACCTGGGGCTGCATACGAGTCCAGTGTCAGTGGCTCTGGGCCGGGAGACTCCACAACTGTGCCCCCCGCGCTCCCAGCAGCCACCACCGCACTGGCCAGTGGTGGTGCTGGGGGAAGCAGGTCCAACATGGTGAAGAGCGCAGGCGCAGAGGAGTCATAGGCAAAGCCATCGTCCAGGAGATCGGGGCCACCAGGAGGCTCCAAGCCAGGAAGGGTTATGGTATTAGGGAAGAAGTCAGTGTCTGGTGGCTGCAGGGCTGATGGCGGGAGGAACAGGCCTGGTGAAGAGAGAAAGACGGCTGGATTTAGGAACTACCTCTGGCCAGGCAGAAACTCACCTGGGCCCCATCATACTGAAGGTATTGTTTTGTTTCGTTTTGGCTGTCCTCTGCAGACTGGGCTGGCCTTGACCTCACAGAGATCCTCCTGCCTCTGCCTCCTGAGTGCGCCACCGTGCCCAGCAAATGCATTCTGTCTTTGACCTTCAACCCTACCGTGAGTAGGAAGTGCCACCACTCCGCATTATTGTGTGTGTGTGTACATGACGCTCTCGAGCGGGCATACCTGCTGCCATTGTACATGGGAGGGCAGAGGCCAGGGCTCACCTCTGAGGAGTCATTTCATTCCTGCTGCCTTTACATGGAGGCAGAACTCAGGTCCAAGCTGGCACAGAAATCGCCTTTCTCCACTGAGCCATCTCTCTCGACCATGCTTTCTTAAAGTGTGTGAGTGTTTGCCTTTGCATATAATGTATATGTGTAACACACGTGAGTTCCATGAGCCCCTGTGTTTAAGGAGGCGGTGGTGGACGGATGGCTCAGTGGTTGAACACCCACTGCGTACTACTGTTGGGCGTACACACCCAAAGGAGGCACACTCACACCTCAAGGACGTCTGCTCGACTATGTCCATGGCAACATCATTCATAATAGCCGGAACTTGGAAACAACCTAGATCTAGCCCCTCAACTGAAGAATGGTTACAGAAAATGTAGTACATTTACACAATGGAGTACTACTCAGAGGTAAGAAACAATGACATCCTAAAATTTGCAGGCAAATGGACAGAACTAGAAAAAAAGAAACCAAACCAAACAAACAAAAAACCATCCTGAATGAGGTAACCCAGGCCCAGAAAGACAAATATAGTATGTACTCACTTATAATTTGACAGCAGACATATAGCAAAAGACACCCAGCCTATAATCCACAACCCCAGAGATCTAGAACCCTCTTCCAGAAACAGATGGAAGCAGATGCAGAAATCCACAACTAACCAATGGGCTGAGCTCCTGGAGTACAATCAAAGAGAGGGAGGAGAGATAATATAAACAAAGGAGTCAAGACCATGATGGGGAAACCCACAGAATCAGCTGACCTGAGCTAGCCAGAGATCACTGACTCAGGTCTGACAGATGGGGAACCTGCATAAGACTGAACTAGAGTCCCTGTAGAGAGGTGACAATGGTGTGGCTGGGACAATGTATGAGGCCACCGGCAGTGGGCCCAAGATCTAACTCTAATGCACAGACTGACTTAGTGGAGCCCATGCTGTATGGAGAGATAGCTTGTCAGCCTAGACACAGGGGTGTGGGGTGGGGAGGCGCCTTGTCCCGCCTCAATGAGATGATGGGACAGACTTAGTAGACTTCCTAGGGGAGGCCTCACCCTCTCCCAGGAGCAGATGGGAGGTAGAGTTGGGAAGAAGTTGGGGGGGGGGGAGAAGAGAGGAGGAAGGGGGAACTGGGATTAGAATGTGAAAAATAAATTAATAAAAGTTGTCCCCCCCAAAAGAACACTTGTGGCTCTTGCAAAGGGACAGGGTTGGGCCTCAGTCCCCACTTGGAGCAGCTCCAATTAACCTGTAACTCAAGCTCCTGAAGATCTGACATCCACTCTTGGGCTCAATGGGGAACTGCAAGCTTGTGACATATACTCACACCAACCCACATGCACATAAATAAGTGAATATAAAGGCAGAGTCTTAGGCTATGCAGATCCCTCATTCGTTAAAGCTGTTTGCTGCCAGTCAATCAGTGGTGATACACTACGCTTTTAACCTCAGCACTCGGGAGGCAGAGGCAGGCGGATCTCTGTGAGTTCAAGGCCAGCTCTGGTCTACAGAGCGAGTTCCTGGACAGGCTCCAAAGCAATACAGAGAATTTTTAAAAATGTGGTAAATAGCCAAGGACATCTCTGAACTACAAATTCTCATGCCTCAACCTCCCATGTGCTACATCTGAGTTTTTATATGGTTCTGGGGATCAAACTAAGTTGCCTCTCCCAATGGAGCTATATCCCCAAGTTCTTTAATAAGCAAATTATTTTTAAATATACATATTTTAAAGATTATTATTTGAAGATTATTTATTATGTATATTATTATTATTATTATGTATATGGTGTTCTGCCTGCACATTACAGATGGTTGTGAGCCACCATGTGATTGCTGGGAATTGAACTCAGGACCTCTGGAAGAGCAGCCAGTACTCTCAATCCTCTGTAATTCCAGTTCCAGGCAACCCAATTCCCACTTCTGGCCTTTGACACTCAGGCAAAAACTCATACACATAAAATAATAATAATAATAATAAAGCAGATAAATAAAACAAAATAACTGAGTCAGCCCTGATAGCTCACACGTGTAAACCAGTACTTGGGAGGCTGAGACAGGAGGATGTCTGTGAGTTTAAAGCCAAGCTGATGTACATAGGAAGCTCCAGATCAGTCAGGGCGGCAAAGTGCGATCCTATTTCAAACAAACAAGCAAACAGAACCAGGCTGGTAAGATGGCTCCATGCACGACAGCGGTGGCTGAGTAAGCCTGGTGACCTCAGCCACGGTGCAAGGTCAGAGATTCCTGGCCCTTGTCCCCCATCCTCCACACACACACTCACACTCACTCACAGACAATGATACCTTTAATTTAGTTTAAGATTCCTTAAATTATTTCTGCTGGCTGTGGTGAAGCAGCCTGATATTCTAGTATTTGAGAGCCCGGGGCAAGATGCCTGTCCGTTTTGAAAATTGTATTCTTTGTGTGCATGAGTGTTTTGTCTGTGCACCACATGCATGCAGTGCCCTAGGGGGCCAGATTAGGGCAATGGATCCCCTGGGACTGGCGTTACAGGTGGCTGTGAGCTGCCATGTGGGTGCTGGGACTCAAGGAAGGGCAGTCAGTGCTCTTTCGAGCTGAACTCCCCATCCATGTCATTCTGTAAATGTTTCTCTTATTGGTTAGTGATTAAGCACTGTTGGCAAATAGGAAGGCAAGATAGGCGGGACTAGACGATAAGGAGGATTCTGGGAAATGTAGTAGAGGAGAGTCAAGATGTAGGGACTTGAGAGAAAAAGGGCTGGACCCTCTCTCCAGTAAGATAAAACCTTCTTTCCAGTAAGGTAAGTGGAAACACTTAGATGAATAGAAATGGATTAATATTTAAGACAGCTAGCCAATAAAAATGCTAATAACAGGCCAACAGCTTTATATCTAATAATACAGCATCTCTGTGTGTTATTTGGGGCTGGTGCGGCTATAGGACCAGGCTGGCAGGAAAACAGCTCCTAATACATCTAGACTTGTTTTAAGGAGAAAGTTTCTTGAAACAAATAAAATAAAACAAAAATGTCAACCTACAGTACACTGTGTTCTGGTGCTGGCTCCCTTCCCAAGTACTAGGCAGGCCTGACCCTGCTTAGCTTCCCTGACAAGATCAGACACATTCATACGGCATAGTTAGGGATCATGTCACTTCGTGTTTTGAGATGGGGTTTCCGTTTAGCACACAGGACCTCAAACTCATGGTGTCGTTACGATGACCCTGGACTTCTGATCCTCCTGCCTCCCGTTCCCAGGAACTGAGTGCCCAATTGTGTGCCACCACATCCAAATTGTGTGCTGCTGGGGATAAATGCCAGACAGCCAGACAGCTGCCAAGTCAGCTACAGCCCAGCCCAGAGTAAAAGACAACATACAAGCCCAGATTTGTGAAGACATTTCCGGGTCCAGTGCAATCGATCTGCAGGTGCAAAGACTTGCTACAAATGCCTGACGACCGAGTGCAGTCCCTGAAACCCTTTCTAAAAGAACTGACTCACAAAGCTGGGGCTTTGTGTTTTGTTTTAAGGTTTTTTTTCTTATTTTTTGTTTGTTGGTTGGTTATGAGACACGATCTCACTATGTAGTCCTGGCTAGCCTGAAACTTTCTGTGTAGACCAGGCTGGCCTTGAACTTGCAAAGATGTACCTGCCTCTACCTCCCAGGTGCTGGGACCGAAGGTGTGAAATACCATATCCAGCCTGCCTCCACACATGGGCTGTGACACACATGTACCCATATGATACACCCATTATCACAGAAATTAATAAAATAAATTTATAAGGTACTAAAGAAAACTTTTTCTAAGGATCTCTGAGGCTCAGAGAGGTGGATTAACTTGGAAAAAGTGGCACAGCAAATGTATTCCCGGCAGAGAGCATAGCCTCTGTTCCATCTCCAAAGCCTTCTAATTGCTCTTCCATGAGGAGGAATGCTTGACACAGGGTCTTGGAACTTTATGTAGACTACATTGGCCTCCGAATATCAGTAGTTCCCCTAACACAGTCTCCTGAATGCAGGAACCATAGATGTGAGCCACTCCACATTGCTAGATGTGTGGCCAGCTCCTGGCCTTCACAGGAGGTAAAGGAACAAACAATAGGCTGGAGGGATGGCTCAGCGGTTAAGAGCACAGGCTTCTCTAGCTGAGGGCAGCTCACAACCATCCGTAACTACGGTTCCAGAGGATCTGACTCCTCTTCTGGCCTCTGTAAGCGCCAGGCATGCACATGGTGCACATACGTATGTACAAGCGAAACACCCATATGTGTAAGACAAAATATTCTTTTTAAGTTATGAAAAAAAAGAGAAAGAAACCAGAAAAGCAGGGCAGAGTTTCCTGTTGGTCTACACGGGGAGATGGAGGCTGGCGATGCCGCACTCACCTGAGCTGTGGCTGGGCAGGAAATGGTCCAAGAACACGGGCTTCTTTTTCCGTCGTTTGCTTTCAATCCCATGTGGGTCTGGGGGAAGGGGAAGATAAGGGTTCCGTAGCCTGCCAACCCACCCTCCCCAAGCAGGTCAGCTGTCCCCTCCCACGAGTCTGGGGACGGGGGTGGGCAGGGGTGGGGTGGGGGGACACACCAGAGCTACTCAGCTCCCCAAGGACGTCGGGCAGCCCTCGCTTCCTCTTCTTGTCCACCCCATAGCTGTCTGTTCAGGAGAAAGCAGAGGCATCAAAATGTCACCCAGCAGTAACCCCAGACGTCACTGGGACAGCCACAGTCACTATGACAGTCAGCCACAGGGTTGTTAATGACTGCAGCAGTCATTAAAAGGAGAAGAGCTTGATCTTTGCCAACTCATGTAGATTTCTATATCCCTAATTAGGATAAAAGCTCGATACAGTTAGTTCTCCTTAGATCCTACCACAGGGCCTTTGCACTGGCTAGTCCAGTCGCTTTCACCTTCTCTCTCATCCTGTGTGTGTATAGAGACCAAATGGCAGCTTTGCTTGTCATTCCTCATTTCTCATCTAACTTTTCATTATGTTCTTTTGTTTTGAGATAGATCTTCTTAGTGGCCTGCGGTTTGCCGGCCAGCCTGGGTCTTGCTGGACAGACGTCTCAGGAATCCAGCCTGACTCCATCTTCCCAGTGCTAGGAACAAGCAGCCCTGCCTATCTCTCCACCAGAGTGCTGGGAATTGAACTCAGGTCCTCACACCTTCAGGGCAAGCACTTTGCTGACTGAGCTACTGCCCCCGGCCTGCTCTCTGCTTTAATTCTTCCCCAGATATACTCCCTCACGCAAGGCCAAAGGCCTGGTTTCCAGGGTTGGGGGTAGTGGCTATGGGTTGAGTGGTTACCATGATCCCGAGGCAGGTACGTGAAGGGCAGTGGCTCACTGCACACTCCATCTGTGAGCCTCTGCAGGAAGACATTGACAGTCACAGGCTCTGCGATCTCCAGGTCCTCGTAGGGCGGTGTCTTGAACACAATGGCAATTTGCCGGTGCACATCAGCTTGAGAGAAGTCGGCTCTGCCCTCCCAGGAAGCTGTGCTGAACACCACGGATATGTCCTCTGGTGGGGGTAGGTCAGGGTAAGGACACAGCTAAACTAAGGGAATAGAATGGGCCATCGAGCCCCTACAAATTCAGTCTCCACCCATCAATCAAGTATTTCAAATAGTCAAACTATTCAGGGAGGCTGTGCATGGTGGATCACCCCTTTAATGCCAGCACACAGAAGGCAGAAGCAGGAGGTACTTGGAGTTTGAAAGCAGCCTGGTCTACACAGTGAGTTTCAGGCCAGCCAGGGAAACACAGTGAGTCCCTGTCCAAAACAAACAAACAACAAACCCAACTACCCGGGGTCTCCATACAAGGGCAAATAACAGGTATGGTGACAAGCACCTGTAATCTCAGCTCTTGGGAGACTGAGGCAGGAGGATTATGAATCGAGGTACACCTAGATGACTAAGTGAGACTCTATCTTAAAATTCAGTGTAAAAGAACTAGGGATTTAGTTCAATAGTACAGAGCTTGTAATTGACTCCACCAGGGAGGTCTGGGGGTGTGGCTCAGTGGTCGAGCCCCTGCCTACCAAGCACCATATCCTATGATTCTGAACATTTCTAATAAAAACAAACACAAGAGGCTGGAGAGACAGCTCCGCAGTTAAGAGTACTGGCTGCTCTTCCAGAGGACTGCGGTTCGATTCCCAGCACCCACATGACAACTCACAATCATCTATTACTCCAGTCACAGGGGGTCCAACACCCTCACACACTGCTCTCGCCTGGCACACAAACACACGTGCAAACAAAACACTGACACACACAAAAGAAATAACAATAATAAAAATGTGAAAAAAACTGGAAAGCTCCCAGGAACCCTCTCACTTTACGATCGTCACCACAACAGGTGGAGGGAAGCAGATGAGGAAAATGTCCCTCCCCGCCGTCTGCTTGTTTTTGAATGTCACTTCCTCAAATAGGCTTGGAAACAAAAACTGAAAAACCAACTACCAAAAAAGAGAAGCCACCCTGTACGCAGGACCACGCCACGGGGACACAGCGGAAGTCCCCGCCCGTGCAGCTGTCCTCTCTGTGTCCTTCACATTTCCCCTCTTTTGTTGTTGGTCTGTGATTTTTTGAGGCAGAGTCTCACTATGTAGAGCAGGCTGGCTTGAAACCTTCTTGCTTCAACCTTCCAGAGGTCGGGGATTACAGATACGTGCCACCAGAGTGGTTTAACCATATGTTCTACTACTGGGAACGGAATTCAGGGCCTCATCCATGCTAGAAAATCACTTACCCTATTACTGAGCCCCTCACCAGGGGATTCTAGGCAGGGGCTCTCCTGCCAAGCCACACCCTTGGCCTCTCTTTTCTGTTGTTGTTGTTTGGTTTTGTTTTTTCGAGACAGGGTTTCTCTGTGTAGCTTTGGAGGCTGTCCTAGAACTAGCTCTGTAGACCAGGCTGGCCTCGAACTCACAGAGATCCACCTGCCTCTGCCTCCCGAGTGCTGGGATTAAAGGCATACACCACCAACGCCAAGCCCCTTAGCCCCTCTTAAAGCATCTGTGCAAGGGATTTCTAGTGTGGCAGCATCCTCAAAGAGCTCTGCATGCTCCTGGAAGCTCATGAGCCTCCATACCTTGCAGAGATGAGCTAGCACACAACGCGGTTGCCTTGATCTGCCTGGGTCTGCAGCCAGGGCTCTGACCCCCTCCAGAGCGCTGCCCCGGTAACCCAGCACCCCACCTCTGCCCCGGTACTGGACGGTGCCTCTGGGCCCCTCACCTTTCTGCACCTTGTCGCACAGCAAGTACAGCTCCTCCCCACCTGTGCATGGCCCGCTCTCCTTGTTGATTCGGCAGATCCGCAGCTCCGATGTGTTGGTGGACTCTGGGTAGGGAAGGAACGCAGAAGGAAAATGGAGCAGTCAGTCATCACTCCACTGCGCTTGCTGACAGGTGAGAGAGACAGAGGAGGGAAGACACCCCATTCAGGTGGGACACAGCGTCCTCAGGCAGGAGGGAAAGTTTGTTAGGGTCTCTCCAAAACGGAGACTCGGACTCAGGGAGACTTGGCATGTCCAGGGTGACACAAGGTCACCAGATGATGTTTTACAACCTGAAATACTGTTTCTGTTTCTATGTTTCCTCACAGTGGAAGTGAGGGGACCCAGGATCTTGCTAGGTAAGAATTCTACCACTGAGCCACGCCCTCAGCCCCTCACTGGGGGATTCTAGGCAGGGGCTCCACCACTGAGCCACGCCCCCAGCCCCTCACTGGGGGATTCTAGGCAGGGGCTCTACCACTGAGCCACACGCCCAGCTCTCAATTTTTTTTAATCACCTTGATTAATCTTGATCAGCTGCCCCAGCTGGCCTTGAACTTCCTTACCATCCTGCCTGAGCCTCCCAAGAGTCTGGCACTACAAACAAGCATCACCTGCCACCTGAGCTGATGTCTTACAAGATGTTTGTCTAGACTGACCAGCAGTCCTTGCCTTTTTTTATTAACAACTCTAAAACTAGCAGCCACTCCACTTCAGCCATGGGAGTGAAGAGTTCTGAGCCGTCCCTTAGGTCAGCAATAATCCATCCTATGGCCTAGACAGGGTCAATCAGGGCATTGCCTCCGTATGGCCACTGCGGAGTGGTCTGAGGAGCAGATATCCGAACTCCTGCCAATGAGAGTGTATGCGGAGGCCATGAGCAAACACTGTACAATGTCAGGCACGGTAGTATGTGCTTGCAATTCTACCACTCAAAAGGTAAAGGCAGGAGGGCTGCTGCTCTGTGTTAGATTGCTAATGTGTTAAAATAATAAACACGGGGCTGGGGGTGTGGCTCAAGCACTTCCCCAACATGAAAGGAAACCCTGGCTTCCATCCCCAGCTTCAGTGAGGGGGTCACGGTAGGGCAGCTCAGGCTGCTCATCTCAGACAATCGAGGCCAGCTATGGGGTACATGATGGGTTCTGTGGGAGGGACCTGTCTTCAGTCCGTTGCTTTTTGTGTCCTGCAGAGCGAATCCACCAGGCGTGTGTGGATAATTCACAAGCTGTGGCCACACAGGGGACCCAACTAAAGTCAGCGGGTAACAAAATCAAACACAAAGGAGTGAGTGTAGAAGGGATCTTTGGGAGAGAGATGGGGGGTGGCGGACAGTGAAGAAACTCAACGCGCTGTATACGTGCACAGAATTGTCAAGGGGCAGATCTAACTAGCAAAAAGCACAAAAAGGGAAGAGAGATAGCTGGAGAGATGCACAAGGTGCGAACTGTGCAAGCATACGGGATGACACTGCCCATCCGAGGCTTTGGCTGCACCTGTGATCCGCTCACTATGTGCCCGGGACGGAGAAAGAGGGAACGGACACAGAAGTACGGACCCGGCTCCCCCGAGACTGTGGGCACCTCAGTGATGGCCTGCTCGTCCAGGCCACTGTTTGGGGTGCTTTCTGATACCTGTGACATGTTAATCCCCAGGGACACGGCAGCCCTGACTCACTCTTATCGTAGACAGGCTCAGAGAGAACGGGTTCCAGGCGGCGCAGCTGCCCTTGCTGGTCCCGGTAGGACGCCTGGAAGCATATCCTGACCACATTCATGTCCACCTCCTGATGGTTCTTCAGAGAGCCAGCTGTGAGAGGACAGAGTGATGTTCCAGTCAGCTGAGCTGCTGGAGGCAGGGTGTGGCGGGAGAGGGGCCAAGGCGGGGACGTGCAGTAGTCATCCCAGCACTGGAGAGGCGGAGGCCAGAGGATGCAGTGTTCAAGGTTATCCTCGGCAACACAGTAAGTCCAAGGACAGCCTGGTCTCCATGGAGACCATGTCTTGAAAACCAAAATGAAAAAACCAAATAAAGGGGCCAGTGAGATGGCTTGGCAGGTAAAAGTGCTTGCTGCAAAGCTGGAGAAGCAGAGCCCACATGGTGGAGGGAGAGAACCAACTCCTGGGGTATCTATCCTTTGATCTCACAGGCATGTCCATGCCACGCCATCCCCACATACACACACCCTGAAAAATACACGTAATTAAAATGAAGAAGAAGCAGTCGCCGCCGCCGCCGCCCCTGCTTTTAATCCCAGCATTCGGGAGGCAGAGGCAGGCAGATCTCTGTGAGTTCAGGGCCAGCCTAGTCTACAGAACAAGTTCCTGGACAGCCAGGGCTGTTACACAGAGAAACGCTATCTCAAAAAACACAAAACACAAACAAACCAACAAAAAATAAGGAAATAAAGAAGAGAAAGAAAAGAAAACCATCTAAAGGGGTAGGGACGTGGGAGGGCAGGCAGGGCACTGACCATTGTAGGGGTCGATTCCGAGCTGGATCTTCCGCTCGATGGCAGCTTCGATTTCCTTCTTCCGAACACACTGGATGCCCAGGTTGTTAAAGCTGAGGGGAGACAGAGGAGAGGCTGTGAGGGGCAGCCTGCTCTGCACACTGCAGGCAGTTGGCAGACCCTGCAGGCAGTGTGGAGGAGCTCGGCAACACCTGGGATTCGAATCTCTCAGAGGCTGCCAGGAGTCAGACCAAGACCCCGCTTTATTTTACCATGTAGAAATGCCAGCCAGGCTCCTTTACATCCAAGAAGGTGCAAAGGAAGCCCGAGAAGCTGCAGCAGGGGGAAACAATTTGAGGCCTCCAAAGTAATTACGTAAAAAAAAACCTTCAATATATGGCTACAGTGGTGTCTTAGCTCTCAGGAGGTGGAGGCAGGAGGGTCATAAGATAGGGGAAAAAATGGCCGGGAGTGGTGGCACACACCTTCAGCGTCAGCACTCACACAAAGAGGCAGGGGGATCTCTGTGAGCTCCAGGCCAGCCTGGTCTACAAAGCTACACAGAAAAACCCTATCTTGGAAAAAAGAAACCCTAGGTGGATTAGATGGCTCGGCAGGAAAAGGTCTTTGTCAGCCTGAGTTCCATCCTCAAAACCCACACCGGGGAGGAGAGAACTGATTCCCGCAAAGTGTCCTCTGCCACGGGCAACAGGGTTAAATCTGGCGTGAACTGTGCGTCTGTGCTCCGTTCCCTCTCTGACCCTCTGTCTCCTCCTCTACAGAACGGAGATAAATGGAACGGCCATGAGACGGAAGCAGGGGGACCTCAGCTTCCAGCTTAGTTTTGACTACATGGCAAGACCCTGTCTCAAAAGGCCAACAAAAAGCAAAACTGGACACATATGAATGGGTGTGGCATGTTTTCCGGCCCAAGTGGGGTGCACTGCTGCTCCCACAACCCACTTCCGCCCGGATGCTTAAGCCCTAGGCTCGCCTAGTGCTCTGGAGTCTCCATGAGCAGCTGCGAGAACCAGGGGTCGACAGCAGGGGCTGGAGTCAGGGGCTGGTACCTGTGCCTGGGGCTGACATGAGGCCGCAGCCGCACCCTGCAGACGCCATCCGTGCAGTCTTTCCCCACGAGGCTGTGTGGGTGTACCCGGTGAGGCCAGTCCTTCCACACAAGGCATGCCGTGACCTCCACCTCCCTCAGCCCGCCGCAGTCTCGAAGCTGTAGGAAGACGTGGGCTCACTGGGTGTTCGCCGGACCCCTGTCCCCATCCAAGGTCCCTGGGACTCCCTGCTTCTTCTCAGGGAAAAGCCATGCTAGAGACCACTCTCCTGCCCTTGATGCCTTTAATGCCAGCACTCCCAGAGGCAGAGGCAGGCGGATCTCTGAGTTTGAGGTCAGCCTCGTCTAGAGATCAAGTTCCAGAACAGTCAGGGCTCCACAGAGAAACCCTGTCTCAAAATCCCAAAACCAAACCAAACCAAACCAAAAAAAAAAAAAAAAGCAGCCACAACAAAAACCGGGCCTGGTAGTATAGGCTTGTAATTCCAGCTACTGAGGAAGAATAAAAAGGTGTCAACCTGGACAACACGTGAGGATGTGACTCAAAATATAAAGTAAAGAACGAAGGCTGGGCGCTTGGCTGAGTGATAAGCACATGTGAGAATCCCCCAGTGAGGGGCTGGGGGTGTGGCTCAGCACTAGAGCACCTGCCTAAAAAGTACAAAACCTAGGTTCAATCCCCATTACTGAGAAAAAAAAGCAAAAAACAAAAAACAAAACCAACAGAAAAACTGGTTTCTTACAGAACTGTCCTCCCCTTTGCTCTGGATCAGCGTCTGGGCCCAGCTGGCCTCAGAGTCTCTGAGCCGCTGCCTTGAATTGACTGCAAATGTTTAGAGTAACGAACACTTCCCCCAGGAGTTTGAGTGAGTGCTGCCCTCTAGCGGCGGAATGAGATGCTGACGGTGGCTTTGGAAGGCATGTCTTTGGGACCACAGACTCTATCTAGTTTGTCATTGGAACAGCCTCACAACCACCCCAAGTCCTATAACCCGCCGCCGCCGCTGTTTTAAAAAGACCACTCTCTGTAATCCAGGCTGGCCCGGTTATCCTCCTGCTCTTTTGAGGTTTGGGGGTGGAAGCGCAGAGGGCCTATTCCCAGAGCAGTAGTACCACCGCGCGCGCACCTCGATGGCAGGCAGCGTCTTGCTGGCTTCGGTGCTGCTCTCCCCAAGGATGCTGCCGGCAGAGCGGCCCTCGCACTCATAGCGGAAGCGCATCCCGCGCTGCTTTGGCTGCTCTGTGATGACCAGGTGCGGCCTGGGACCCGGGCCGGGTGACACCAGCCGGCCCAGGGTGCAGCTCCAGGGCGAGGGTGTGACAGGAGGCGGCTGTGCAGCTGGACCCAAGGTGACGCTGCTCAGTGAGGCCTGCCCACGGGGCACCAGGCGAGGCATCTCGCCCAGCTGTGCCCCGTCCAGGCCGAAGCCGTTCTCCTTAATGTATTCGTCGATGATTTCTGCAGGACAGACAGACAAGTGAGGATGGCGCAGGACGGGGCTGGGCTCCCTTTCTTCTTCTCATTTTATCCCCTTGGTTTCAGACAAGGTCTCATCATCTACCTGTGGTTGCCATATAGACTAGGTGGGTCTCGAACACACAGAATTCCACCTTCCTCTCCTGGGGTTTACAGCACACCTGCACTTCAACCTTGTTTTTTGTTTGTTTGGTTTGGGACTTTGAGACAAGGTCTCTATATAGCCCTGGCTGACCTGGAACTATGTAGACTAGGCTGGCCTTGAACTCACAGATCTGACTTTGCCTCCCAGAGTGCTGGGGTTAAATCCACACATCACCATATTGCTCACCCTTTATTTTCTTAAAGCCCCCCCCCAATTGTGTGTGTGTGTGTGTGTGTTCCCTGCATATATGTCTGTGCACCACTAGGAAGGTCAAGTGCCCTCAGAAGCCAGAAGGGGGAATCAGAGCCCTTAGAACTAGAGTTACAAAGATGGTGAGCCTCTATGTGGTTGCTGGGAATTGAATTTATGACCCCTGGAAGAGTCAACAATGCCCCCCCCTTTGTTGTTGTTTTTCGAGACAGGGTTTCTCTGTAGCTCTGGAGGCTGTCCTGGAATTCGCTCTGTAGACCAGGCTGGCCTCCAACTCACAGAGATCTGCATGCTGAGTGCTGGGATCAAAGGTGTGTGCCACCAATGCCTGGCTACTTTTTTTTGGGAGGGGACAATATTCTTAACCTCTGAGCTATCTCTCCAGCCCCAGCCAGTGCTCTTCACTGCTGAGCCAGCTCTCCAGCCTCTAAAGGTCTTTAAGGTTAAGTGTATGTGTGTCTGTATAGGGGTCTATGCTAATGAGTGTCCAGCCTGCAGAGGCCTGCAGAGGGCTTCAGATATCCTGGAGCTGGGGTTACAGGTGGTTGTGAGTCCCTCAGTGTGACTGCTGGAAACCAAACTTGGGCTCTCTGTGAGAACAAGCACTCTTAACCACCGAGTCTGCTCCGCAGCCCCTCCTCTTGGGTTTCTGAGACAGGGTCTCACTATGTAGCCAAGGCTGCTCTCCAATCCATGATCCTCTTGCCTCTGCCTCTGGATTACAGGCAAGTGCCACCAGAAGGAACCCACGAATCACTTCTACATCTGCTTTCCTTGTAGCCTCCCTCACCCACTCCTTCCCCTGCTCCACCCATCGTCTCCCACCTGGACTAAGGCAGTTGCCATCTCTCCTGCCTTTTGTCCCTTGTATTTGTCTATCTCACACAGCCTGAGGGATTTTGTTAGTACCAGCCTATCTGCCCTTTGCCTAGAAGCCTCCCATGGCTCCCAATCCCCTGGTGGTAAAGGGAATTTACATAAAACTTGCCTCAAATGTGGATATACTTCATCAGAAGAGTCTGCCTTTCAATCCCCCAGTGAGGGGCTGGGGTGTGGCTCAGTGGTAGAGCCCCTGCCTAGAATCCCCCAGTGAGGGGCTGGGGTGTGGCTCAGTGGTAGAGCCCCTGCCTAGAATCCCCCAGTGAGGGGCTGGGGCGTGGCTCAGGGGTAGAACTCTGCCCAGCTTGAGGAATCCCTAGGTTCAATTCTTAGTATTTAATGATAGTAACAATAAGTTGCCCCCACCTAGCTTGGTCACCTTCAGGGACATGAACTTGTTCCTCCTCTTTTCCTCATGTCCAAGTCTCCCACTCAACCTGTAAGGCACTTCATGCTGCTGCCATCTATGACAGCCATGCCTCTTCACCTCCCTCCGTCTCTCTTCTCTGTAACATTCATTCTCTCTCCCTTTCCTCTGAGACAGACTCTCACTTTGTAGCCCTAAGACTCACTATAGCTCCGACTGGACTAAATTCTCTTTGACCCTCCTGCCTCTGCCTTGCGAGGCTGGGACTCCAGGCATGAAACGGGCATGCCTGGCTGTGCTGTGTCTCTCTCCCTTTGCAAACCTCACTCGTGTTCTGACTTCCTAGTCCGCCCTGTTAGCTCCTGCAGGGCACTGACTTGGTTTTGTTCAATGCTTGATTCCCAGGGCCTGGCACTGGGCCCTGGTAAGAAAGGTCAGTGACATCCACGAGTGAGCACTAGTGACAGATAACAGAAACATACAGACACATAGTGCTCTGGGTCTTGGGAATATGACCTTGCTCAGGTCCTCAATCATCCTGGCATCACACCAGGACCTGCTCCCATCAAACAACTGGGCCTATCCCAGCTCTCCCCGGACCATCAGCCCCCCCCCCCCGTCTCCTGGTACTCACCCAGTCCCTGGACCATCAGCCCCCCCCCCGTCTCCTGGTACTCACCCAGTCCCCGGACTGCCCCCCCCCGGTCTCCTGGTACTCACCCAGTCCCCGGACCGTCACCCCCCCCACTGTCTCCTGGTACTCACCCAGTCCCTGGACCATCACCCCCCCCCCCCGTCTCCTGGTACTCACCCAGTCCCTGGACCATCAGCCGCCCCCCGTCTCCTGGTACTCACCCAGTCCCTGGACCATCAGCCCCCCCCCCATCTCCTGGTACTCACCCAGTCCCCAGACCGCCCCCCCCCCATCTCCTGGTACTCACCCAGTTCATCTGTGGAAGGAAGAGAAAAGAAACGTGAAGCCCAGGCACTGTCAGGGTTGGCATCGTCTAACACAGCTCTCCCAACCTGTCCCCAAGGACTTGCTGGGGCTCCCATCCCCGATCTCTATAGCCCTCCAGGCTGTCCCCTCAGCTCTTAATGTTGGGGACCCAGCATCAAGGGATCCCTAAAGAAACTCAAAAGCCCCCACCCCAGCACTCAGACTTGTTATCAGGACTTGTGGAAAAGCAACGGGGGAAAGGGGGGGTCTGGGAGAGATGATGGACATGAGCGGTTCTAGATAAGGAAGGGGGGGTCTGGGGGAGATGATGGACATGAGCGGTTCTAGATAAGGAAGGGTGTCTGGGGGAGATGATGGACATGAGCGGTTCTAGGTAAGGAAGGGGGTCTGGGGGAGATGATGGACATGAGCGGTTCTAGGTAAGGAAGGGGGTCTGGGGGAGATGATGGACATGAGCGGTTCTAGGTAAGGGAGGGGGTCTGGGGGAGATGATGGACATGAGCGGTTCTAGGTAAATTATGAACAGGTTCCATCTTGAAAATCCACCCTGGGCCCCAGAGGCCACTGTTATAGTCTGAAGGAGAGGCTGCCAAACCCAGGGTGCTACCCTGTCTGTACCATCGCCCAGCTCCCCAAATCTTGGGCTCACCCCTACTTCCCAGAGGGGGTGGGGAGGAGAGGGTTAAGAGCCATACTAGGTACCCTGTGAAGAAGCCCCGTGGCTTCCCCAGTGAAACTCAGCAACGAAGTAATCAAAACCCACTTCCCATCATTTCCCAGACAGGACAGGGTAAGGCCAGAGGAAGCAAAGAAGCCCAGAAGCCACACAGCAGGAGGGTCACCTAAGCAACTGTCCCACCCAGAGCTGTTGTGAAGGCTGGGGACTGATGAGGCCGTACCCCAGTATCAGCCAGGCCCTTCCCCAACTCCTCCCCTTTCCTCTCTTCACACACAGGGAGTGGCTCCTGGCAGCCAGAACTTTGCCCCTTAGAAGGCGTTTTCATGTTCCCCTTAACTCATTTGATCTGTGAGATCAGTAGATGCCAAGGTCCCTCCCCTCCAGGGAGATGAGGTATACCGAGGCCTGGAGAGTAGAGGGAAACCCTCCTTAGATGTCTCTGCTAGATGAACCTAGAGATCCAAAAACACACTTGAACTGCCGGGTGTTACGGAATGTGACTCAGAGCCTGAAGCCTGCCTGGGCTTCTCAATGAGTTCCAGGCCAGCCTACACTACAGAGTGAGAATTTGTGTCAACCAAACCCAAGAAATTCTACCAGGGTGTCCCCAACAGACTCCAGGGAGCTAGGCATAGGGGCATGGCTGTCATCCCGGCAGTCAGGATGCCGAGGCAGGAAGATGGCAGTCTTCCAGGCTAGCCTGGGCAACTTAGCAAGATACTTCTCTCCATCAACCAAACAAACAAAATCAGTTTCAGGCTGGGCATGGGGGCAGGGCTCAGAGCTCGCCTGGCGTATGAGACTCTCTTCCTCAACGACACTATTGACTGTGAGTACTGAAGAGTGGGGGCCATGCCTGCCACATCACCACTGTACCCAGGGCTCTGTCCGTCTGCCCCATTAGAACCAAGGAATTTCCCCTCCCACTTGCCCCCACTTCACCCCGCCCCCACCCTACTATTGAATATCGCTGACCCCATAGTCTCTTCATAGCCCTCGGTGCCTTTCATAACCCCACCTTGAGTTGTTTATAGACTTTCCTCGTCATCTGTGGGGAGCCCTGAAGGCCAGGGCTATGCCCAACACTGGCTCTCATATAAACCCGGTATTCAATAAACAGTCACTGAGCGACTGTATTGGAAGCCTCAGTCCTGTGTCTGGGGCCTCACAAGTCGCAGCCTGCTCCTGGTCATAAGCAGCATTTGGGTCACGCCTACCTTTCTATACCTCTAAAACTCCGTCTCTCCCACGCTCACTCCAGGACTTCACATATCCACCCTGACCTGAGAGAGAGGTCCAGGCCTGGTCAACCACCGAGTGTCACACCCAGGAGCCAGCTGTCACCCAAATCTCAGAAAAGAAATCATGTCGCTGAAGTTTTTGCTTGTTTGTTTGAGGTAGGGTGTCCCTATGTAAACAGGATGACTTTGAACTTGAGATCTTCCTGCCTCAGCCTCCCAAGTACGGGGACTCAGGGCATTCAACATCATGTCTGGTTCAAAGGGTCTCTTAGGATAGTCATCTACTCCAGGACAGGCTCCAAAGCTACAGAGAAACCCTGTCTTGTCAAACAAAATAAAACAAAACAAAAGAAAAAGGATCGTCATCTACGACAAGAGCCTCTCCTGGGAAGTTGCTAAAACGGAAACTCTCAGAAGTTGTTCCAAAGTTAGATTCAGAAATTCTAACACATCCTAACAATGTCTGTACCAATGTCTGTTCCTATGTATTTACTTTTGCCATATTCAGGATATTCAGGGTCTGTGGCAGTTTGAATGCAAGTGGCTCCCATGGGCTCATAGGGAGCCACACTTTTAGAAGGTGCGGCCTTGTTGGGAGTAGATGTGGCCCTGGCGGAAGTGTGCCACTGGGGGAGGGCTCTGAGGTTTCAAATGCTCCAGCCAGGCCCGGTGTCACTCTCTTCCTGCTGCCTGTCAATCTGGAGGTGACATTTCTCCAGCACCTTGTCTGCCTGCAGGCCACCATGCGCCCTCCCCGCCATGAGGATGAAGGACGAGACCGGAGCGATAGAAACCCTAAGACAGGGAGGAACCCGGGGCCTTCATGCTAACCAAATGTTTTACCACTGTGTTCGTCTGTCTATAGTTCACGCTGAGAACATCAGTGTCTTATGTTGCCCAGGATGAGGGTGTGAATGAGAGTGGCCCCCGTAGGGTCATATATGTAAACGGAGGTCCCCAACTGATGGACCAGTGGGGACGGTAACAGATGTGGCCACTCCTAACCTTTTGCCCCCACCTCTCTGCCTCATGCTTGAGGCTCAGGATAGGCGCTATCAGCTGCGGCCCAGCCCATGCCTACCTGCCTGTTGCCATTCTCTCTGCCATGGCGGTCATGGATTCATCCTCTGAAACTGTAAGCCCCAATAAACAAACCCTTTCTGCTGAAAGTTTCCTTGGTCATGGTGTTTTATCACAGCAATAGACAAACAACGGCCTAGCCTTGAACTTGGCATGTAGCTGAGGATAACCTTGAACTCCTGACCCTCCTGTTCTTACCTCCCGTGTACTGTAATCATAGGCCTCATTTTATATAGTGTTGGGGATCAAGCCGAGGGCGCTCTACATGCTAGGCAAGTTCTCTCCCAGCTGTTCACCTCCTCAGTTGGTTTTGTTTGTGAGTCTTTGTTTTAGGAGGGGTTGTTTTGTTTGTTTTTGTTTTTCGGGGCAAGATTTCTCTGTAGCTCTGGAGCCTGTCCTGGCACTCACTCTGTAGACCAGGCTGACTTTAAACTCACAGAGATCCACCTGCCTCTGTGCCCTGGGTGCTAGGATTAAAGGCAGGCGTACTCCACAGCCTGGCTCTGTATTGTGTTTTGATACAGGGTCTCAAGATAACCCAGGCTGGCCTTCAGCTCACTGCGTCGTGGTCCATTAAGGACTGAAATTTGTGCCCATCCTCCTGCTTCAGCTTCTCCTGTGCTGGGGTTACAGGCGTGTGTTGGCATTCCTGTCAATAGTCCTTCTTTTCTTTTTTTTATTTTTTAAACAAGGCTTCTAGGTAATTTGAATGCACATGGATCTGAGCACTTAAGACTAACAACAGTTATCATGCTCTTATTATATAACTATGCCACTAACAGGTTAAGACTAACTGGAATGGGTTCGTAAGCATCAACTCATCCAACTTTCTCCATCCCCACAAAAGAACAGATGGGTATGACAGCCATCACACGGATGAGGAAAACTGAGGTCGGGTTAGGGAAGCCGCTGTGCATTACCCTGTGTGTGGGGGGGTGGGGGGGGTGGGGACGGGGTAACATGATATGTGCCCAGGATTCTGGATGGTGGCGAACCTCTAAGAGGGGACTGGCAGACGGAAGTACGGACACGCAGGGAAAGCGGGCGCACTGCACCCATGCACCCGCGGGGGCTCTGGGCAGCGACTGTGGAGGGCAGCTCACCTGTGGTCCTGGAGGCCGTCAGGGACAGCGAGGAAAGGTCAGCGGAACCTGTGAGAGGGGCCTGGATCAGCAGGCGAAGCGGGGCAGGGCAGCCTGAGGACCGCAGACTGCCAAGCCCGGTCCTCACCGCCACTCGGCCCGCTGAACCAGGTCCCTCCTCCTTACGGAGCGGCGGCGAGGCCGGGCTTCTCTCCCGTAACTCTCGACTAAGTTGTGGCTTTTCTTTGCTGCCATTGACCATGCCCATCACCACTCAACATCGGCTACTTTCGCGGGCCAGGTCGGGTCGGGCAAACCCCATCTCCCCCCTTCCCTCAGGGCCAGACCCGAGCCCAAATACTTTGTCACAGGAGAGCCCTCGGGTCGCGTCGCGTCCCGTCTGCTCTCGCGCCGGGCCCCGCCCCAGTCCGATCCCCGCGGCAGCCCCGCCCTTCCCTTCCCCTCCCCAGCCTGCCAGGCCCCGCCCACTCGCCGAGCCACACGCCTCTTCTTCGCGCTCGCGGAGCCTGGCCCCGCCCTTATTTCCTGTCAAGCTCAACCCTGACCCCGCCCCCTCGAAATCAGGCCCCGCCCTCCCCCTTCGGCCTCGCCTGGTCTGGAGAATGTAGACCCACTTCCTTGAATCAGGCTCCGCCCATTACTCCCCAGGCGGGCGGAACGCACTCGCTACAGCCGGAGCCTCCGCTCGGACCTTCTCAGAGCTTGCCCCGCCCCTAGGCCTACAGAGCCCCGCCCCGTCAGGGCCAGGCCCCGCCCCTCCGCGCTGGCGGCGGGGCCCCGCCCTCTTCTGTGCCTCAGGCTCAGGCCCCGCCCCCCTCTCACTCCTTAGCGGGACGTCTAGCCCGTAGCTCGCGCACGACCCTTCCCCGTCCCTGCTCCTGCCTCGCCTCTCACGCAGTGTCCCGCTACCCGCGTACACTCGGCCGGCACCGAAGCCCGAGTGCTGCGGGGACCCGCAGATGACTCCGAGTGTCCCGAACACCCTCAGCCCGCGCCCCGCCCCAGACGTTCCACTCCGCTTACCCAAGGCCCCCAGCTCGGGCGCGGACGCTCTGCTAGCGCGGCGACTCGGCATGGCCCGGCCCGTAGGGACCGACAGCGCTAAGGCCGGCTCAGGGCGAAGCGCGCACGAGGGCGAGCCGGGCAGCGGGGCGGCCCGGTCTGCTGGCGCGATCGCGGGCCGGGAGAGCGGCGCGAGGCTGGGGCCGAAGGCCGGGCTGGACGCACGGCGCCCGGGGCTGCGGGGGGCGCCGGGCCGGGCGGGCGGCGGGCGGGGGCGGGGCGGCGGAATTCCCCGGCGCCGCCGGCCTGCGCACCCATTGGCTCGCACCCCTCCGTGACGTCACGCCAAGGGGAACGGGAAAACCCCCGCGGTCACGTGACTGCGGGGGCGGGGCCGGCCGGGAAGAGCCGCCTTGGCACACTGCGCAGGGTCTGGTGCGTGTCGCTGTCCATTGCACTGGCCAGGACCACCGAGGCCGTCGGGAGTCCGCTCGTGCCTTGCCCGCAGAGCAAGCTGAGAAACGGGCACCCCTTGCTCCCTCACTAGGACCTAAACCTGCTGTTTCCCAGGCTGGAAAAGGAAGCCAGGAGCGGGAAGTTAGCAGCCATCGATGATAATTTTTTTAACCTAAAACAATTTGAGATAGGGTCTCATCTAACCCAGACCGGCTCCCAGTTCTCCTTATAGCTAAGGATGACCTTGGACTTCAGGTCTTTCTGCCTCCACCTCCCAAGCGCTGGGACGACAGGCATGCACCACCACCTGGTTTGAGCAATACTGAGGACCGTACCCAGGACTTGACGCGGGCTGGACAGGCACTCTACCACTGAGCTGCAGGCCCAGCCCCTTGGCGATCTCTTTATGGCAGCTTCTGTAAAGATGTGCGTGTTCCATCCTACTTTGCTCGGTCCGGTGTGATCGATGGTTCCTGCAGCGATGCTTAGCAGAGCACCTGCTGCATGCTACAGCCTGTAATGAACACTAGGGCACAGCGTTCCTAAAACCAGGCCCAGGTCCTGCTCCCAGGAGACAGAAAGCTGCAGCAGTGAATGGGATGGCGGATGGCACTGCTAACTACTGCTACACGGCAAGCTAAGAACGGTTTTGGTTTTGATAGCTCAGGCTGGCATTTGAACCCACGACAATCCTCCTGCCTCAGTCTTCTGAGCGCTGGGATCACAAGCACCTACCATCATGCCCAGCTAAGAGCAAATCTTTGCTTGCAATGAAACACATCAGACCCAGACACTGAGGACCATATGGTCGAAATTCCATTGTACATAAACAGCCAGAGTCCATACATAATCGGGAGTGTGGCTGCTTTCTAATAGAGCATAATTTGATGAAAGTGGAAACGGGAATAGGTTAAATAGGAAAGAATATATTTTTTCTTTTTGCACCAGGAGGGTTACGTACCAGTGTGTTATGTAAGCCTGGGGTAGACATCTCCCATCGTATAAGCTCATCATCAGGCTTACCAGCCACACCAGTGTTTCCTAACTGTAGGGTTGAGAATGTGGCTTATGATAGAATGCTTGCCTAACATGTATGAGACCCCTAGGCTGTATTCTCAGCAGCATGCAAAAATACTGTAGCCAGGTATATGTACTGGGAAGGAAGAGGTGGACGATTCACTGGCAAGTAGTGGATTCCAGGACAACAATTGTTGCACAGTAGGTCCTTGTCTCAACACAAACAAAACAAAAAAGAGGAGAAATAAAATAAGGGGAATAGGGTGTGGCTCAGTGGCAGAGTTCCTGCTTGGAATCCCCCAGTGAGGGCCCGGGGAGGTGTGGCTCAGTGGTAGAGCTCCTACCTAGTACACAAGAGGACCTGGATTGGTTCCCCAGCATCAAGAAAGCAAGTGCCGAGCTGGGCAGGGTTGTTCACACCAGCCTTGGATCTGAGACTGTAGGACTGTGAATTCAAGAGCAAATCTGAGGGCCAGGCAAGATGGCTTTCACCAGGAATGTCAACATTTGAAAGTTGGATGCAGGGGTTTGCCATGAGTTCTAGGCTAATCGGGGCTACCTATTGCAAGACCCTGCCTCGAAAAATAAGCACAACTTTAATCCCAGAACTTGGGAGGCAGAGGCAGGTGGGTCTCTGTGAGTTCCAGCCTGGTCTGCAAGAGCTAGTTCCAGGACAGGCTCCAAAGCCACAGAGAAACCGTCTCAAAAATCAATAAATCAGCAATAATAAAAATCCTAGCATTGCGGAGGCAGAGGCAGGCAAATCTCTGTGAGTTTGAGGCTAGCCTGGTCTACAGAGTTCCAGGACAGGCTCCAAAGCTACACAGAGAAACCCTGATTCAAAAAACAAACAAAAAATGCAGTTTCCTAAAATAAGTTGTAATTTCAGGGTCCTGAGTCAGATTTCTTGTGCTCAAATCCTAGGTTTTCTGGACAGTTCTGACTCCACGCAATTGATTTCTCCACTCTGGACTTTTGAGTTTCCCCAAACAGGATGCTGAGGGTTCAATAAGGACACGGTACACTTGACCTTCGTCATAGCTCTTCCATGGCCCCCGCACCATTCAAACTACTAACTCCTTGTCAGGCTACATAGTCGAGGCTGGCATCTGCCTCCTGAGTGCTTGGGATTAAAGGTGTACACCCCCATGCCCAGCTGGGGAAATTCTGAGATTCTCATCTGAAGGTACAGATAAACAGCAGCATAAACTTGAAAGGGCTGTTGTGAACATGAGAAAATTGTTACATAATTCAACAGTGCAGGGCACTGTTCTCAAAGGGGCTGACAGCATAAAGTGCATGCAGTCTTCTTGTGTTTCAGAGTTTCTGGCAGCCCAGGCTGGACTCACACATCTACAGGCGGTGAGGATGACCTCGAGCTCCTGACCCTACTGCCTTTACCTCCCAAGTGTTGGGATTGCATGTGTATCGCCCTGTGCTAAGTCCTGTTGTATAGCCCGGGCTGGCCAAATTCTTCAAATCCTCCTGCCTCGGCCTGTCAAAGTCAAGGATGAGGTGTGGCCACTGAGCACAAGTTTCTAGGGTCCCTGCCAGGTTATGAGCTTCAAAGCACTGCTGTGGAATGATGTTGGCCCCTACTGTGTATACAGACCTGTCCTGTGCCGTCTCTGCCAAGAGGCTTGGAAACTGCTGACCTGACACTATAGACCCATCCACCAGCACCCCAGCAAGGGCTCTAAATATGCTCCTATGTCTGTGAAAACAAATGGATATGGCAGACAACCCTAGCCATGTTCTCACGAGTAGGACTTGGTGCGGTAAAGGGACAGGCACTCTGCCATGATGTATCCACCAGTCGGCAGAGCTGCTGGAAGAACCTGAGGACAGGGTAAGAGGTGTCCTGAAGAAACACCAACTTATCTACCCTGTGGGTACTTGTGTCCCAGGGGACATGCACGAGCCCCTTTGTAGGCTTCTGAGGGTACTGGGGCCGCAGGAACAAGAGGAACCCTGGTGGCCCTTGGTCCAGGCACCCCGTGCAGTATAGACGACTACAGAAAAATGGGGACATAAACAGTCCAGTGGCTGTCACTTCTCTGGAGTAGGTAAACAGACTCGGTTCAGCACACTGACAACTCAGATGGGTCCTTGAGGCCAACGTTATTTAGGGACGATATTTAGGGAATTCACTCTGCCCTGCTGAGGCTCCAGGGGTGAACTGGTACAGCCCCGTTAAGGTGTCCCCATTCCATTGAGGGGTGTCGAGTACAGCTGCCTCTCTTGGTGGTGGCCTCTTCACGCGCGGACAGGTCTAGTAGTGTCTACTGTCCCAGGCCTTGCCTGGCGCCATACAGCTCAACACAGGGACACGGGATGCTTTCTGTCAGCAGCTTCATCGAAGTTTAAGATGGAAGAAATCTTTGGGAGTCCCCTTGCAAGGCAGATTCATGTGTTTGGATATGTGTGCCACGGGGCGCGCGTGTGCACGCGCGTGCGCATAGGCAAACTCACCCCACTTGGCTCCCTTTTTTCTGCCTTACTGTGATGTCTGCTCTAGTGATCAACTGGCACTGTGTAGCCTTGTGGCACATTAATAGTGGTGCAAACCCTGGTGGCCAGGGTTGCACAGCAAATGCCTTCTTCAACCACTGAGCCGCTTACCATCTCTGAGACAGGGTCACCGGTAGCCCAGGTTGGTTCTGACGTATGGGTACGCACCACCATGACTGGTTTACAGTGCTAGGCCGTGCTCACTCACGCTAGGTAAGCAGGGTTAAGAAAGGGAAAGGACAACTGCCGAGCCCCATGCCCTGCCATTCACCTCCAGGCCTCCCTCTCAGACCTGAGCCAGCTGCCTGTTCCAGGCAAGGAAGGCAGAGGAGGTGCCGTGGTTGAGCTTAAGTTAAACACCCATATGAATTTATTAAATCCAGACTGTTAAAGGGTGGCGGTCTGGGAGCAGGGTGGTCAGAGGATGAGGGACAAGATGATGGAGGACCACGGGCATCCCACAGAGGAGCCCTGGCCCCTTCCCCGCCTGGCCCACCCTCGGCGCCGTACTGGCTTCACCATGATTCCCGATGGTGCTGGGCTGGCAGGGCGAGATGTCTGCAAACACACAGGACAGACGGATAGACAAGACGACCGACCGACCGACGGTGTCTCCACATACATACAGCCAGCCCCGGCCTGCCTGGCCCCATCTCACACACTGGGCCCTGGCCCCTGGGGGCCTCCTGACGCCCCGGCCTGATCTGTCCAGGAAGAGGGCGACAGGGAAGGGAGGTGAGTTGCCAGGGAGGTGGGTGATGGTCACCAGGAACAGATGAGGAGGACCCAAGTGGCTAATCCTTTTTCTTGTCCTCTGCTGGCTTTGGAGAGGCTTCCTGGGGCTGGCTGGCAGTGCTGGCCCCAGGAGTGGCCGTTGGGACTGCGGAGGCATCCTCTTCAGTGACAGCTGTGCTGGACGCTGGTGTGAGAGCCCCTGCTGCAGTGGGCGCCTGGGCCCTGGATGCCGATGCCGAGACATCCTCTCCACTCATACCAAACTCGTTCACACGCGTGGGGTCGACGCGGTAGATCCACCGTTGGTAGAGGTAGATGAAGAAAACCACATCTGGGGGAAGGGATTGTGTAAAGGACATGGCCCACCCCACCGGAGAATGAGGCTCTTTCCTGCCCACTGCATCCCATGTCCCTGGGTCCCCAGGGCCTCACCGTCCCGCAGGCAGCCAATCCGATACATGACAGGCATCTTGATGACAAAGGCAAACAAGTCATCAATGAAGGTGTTGAGGGCCTTGTAGGTGAGCATTCGCCAGGGCAA